CGCCCTTACCGCTGGACAATCGACCAGCTGTCCAAGGGCATGGTGCGGGCTTGGGATTGGCTGGGAGGGATCCTCTCTACTTGTCCTTGCCTATCTCTTTCTCTTTCTCTGTTTATCCCCCCCCTCTGCCTCTCTCTCTCTTGTTGGTTTGAGCTGTGTTTGGTTCGCCTCTGCTGCTCGGCATGACCTCTTGTTGCGTATTGCGTATTGCGGTGATGGAGGGGCAAGGAGACAGGTGGATGCGGAAGTCGAGGGACGCCAGGAGGAGGACCCATATACACGTCTCGAACGCTGCGAGGCACGAAACTACGACTGGGGTGGCAACAGAAAGGCTGTCAAACTTCAGACCAGATCCGAAGCCTGGTCTGTTTGAATACGAGGCACCTGGAAGTGTCGACTCCTTCCCCGGGACCAGCTGTTCATCGTGAGTGTCTACATGTTTTGCACTCTCGAGACCCAGCGAGGACCCCCAACGGCCGAAAACTAAGACAATCATCTGTCTTGAATGTCATCGATGCGTCGGCGGTCCGGGTAGCAGCTTTGGAACTTGGATCCTACCAAGACGTCGAGCGAGTCCCGCCAGGGCGGTTTGGGGCGTCACGTGAAAAGGGAGCCGCCACCAAGGGGTCGCTACGTCCTCCTGTGTTAGAGGGGGAGGATACCCTCAGAACCATTCAAATCAAAGCGCCCAACAGCGTTTAGAAACCGACTCGGTCATCGATCCTACCGTTCCCTCCTTCTCCCACTCGCTCTTTGATCCCCCAGGAGAGGTGCAGAACTCCCTGCGGTGACCTTCCCTTGGCCCTGCCACGGGAGTGGTTTACTTTCCCGCCTCCCCTCCCCCCAGGGGGTCTGGACCTGCGGGGGGGGGGGGGGGCAGAGAGGGGTGACTGGGGCGCGAGGCGCTACAGGGTCCAGAGTGACCCTAGACGGCTCCAAGATGGCATCACATGGCACAGGGCCCCATGCTGCTTCTCCAGGACGGCGGGCGGTGGCACGTGCTAGCTCCGGCCTGTCCCGAAGAGGCCCCGAGGTGGCTCCCTACCTACTCGAGGATACCCCCGAGAAGTCCCAATCGTTATGACACTCAAGCGTGAGTGTGGCCTTCCTGCCTCTTCGGTTTCCGATGGGCCTCTAATGTCCCAGGGTAGCCCCGAGATTGAGCAAGAGGGTGCTGAGAGGAGCCCAGAAGGTCCCCGAGAGGTTCCCAAAGGCTGCCACGAGCAGCCAAAGAAAATCCCAGTATTGGCCCAAGGCTCTGTCCTTCGGGCTCCACCAATAAGGTTGCATGCTGTGTGCTGATGACCCAACAAAAACACAACAAGAACACCACTACGTGTGCTGGAGGCCTCAGCCAGATTCCCAGTGGGCTCCCGATTTTGCAGTCGCAATAGTTCTCTGGGCGCGGGTGGTTTGTATCGATCCTTCTTCCAATCACCCCGTCTTCCCTTTCGGGGATGGGTTTGCCTCTGGCGCGGTGGTCGCCCTTGGTTAACTACAGAGATTAAGACGAGTTGCACACGCCAATCCTTGTTCGGCGGGGCCTCAGATTTGATGGTTGCAGGGGGGACCTCTTAGGACTCCTTTGAAGCTCTTTTGGGGTGCCCCTGGGGCCCTGTTTTGGCTCTGTTTGGTTCCTTCGGGGGCCCCTCGGGGCTCAATGAGAATCCCATCAGCCCTTTGGGCTAAGGTGGTCTAGCGAGTTCGTTCCTTCCTCTTCCTCAACCATCTTCCCTTCGGGGAGGGGTACCCTCCCTCTCCACTCCCTGAGCTTTGTTCAGGCGGGCCGCGATGCGCTAGATGACCCTTGTTCGCCCAAGATGGCTTCAAGAGGGCCTCCAATGTTCCAAGGTGGCCTCCACGGCGGCTTAAGATAGCCGGATATGGCTCAATCTAGCTTATGGACATTAAGAGACCCAGCGAAGGCCACAAGACGGTCCCATATGCTCTCGGAGCCCCATCAGGACCCCCTCACGGGGCCAAACTCCTCCAACAACCGAAGGATACTCAATTGTTTGTGCATGTTCGCCTTTTCGCGTGTACGATGCGCCTTTGAAATCTCAAGATGCCCCCAGGATGGCCCAAGAGATGCCCAAGAGCCCCCCAAGATGCTCCCAACGCGGTGGCAAGAGCGCCTAAGATCGGCCCACGAGCGCCGCGAGAGCAGCCAAAGAGGGGACTTTCATGACCCCCGGGGGGGAAGGGGAGCGCAAATCTAGGACCCCCCCCCTCCTTTGATCGATCCAAAATTGCCCGAAGACGCCCTCCAGGGCCCCCAAGAGGGCCCCAAGAGAGCCCCAAGAGGGCCCCAAGAGGGCCCCAAGACCCCCCACACGAGCCCCAAGAGGACCCCACGATCCCCAAAAAAGAATCCCAAGAGGACTCCAAGAGGTGATTTTGAGGGCTCTGTCATCGTCCTCGTTGTCCGCCTCCTCCTCCTCGTCCTCGTCCTTACCCTCATCGTCTTCCTTTTCCGTTTGCTCCTCTTCCTCAGCCGTCGTGGTCGTCGTCGTCGTCGTCGTCCTCATCATCATCTTCTTCCTCCTCCTCCTACTCCTCCTCCTTCGCCCTAGGGATGGTCCAAAGAGGCCCTCCAAGGCAATCCCCTTGCTCCCAGAGATCACTCGATTCACCCTGATTTCCCGCGCTGCCTCACAACATGTGTCTCTGCAGAATTTCTGAATGGGCTGGTGGGGATACGCGAAGCGCGAATCCATTATTTTGGAAGCCGTAGGGACCCTCCTGGGGCAATCCTGGATGATGACATACATCAGCACAGTCGCTGGGTCGCTCTCAGGGCCGTATTGGGGTCTTTCTGATGTTGTTGGTCCCCTTGGGGCTCTCGTGGGCGATCTTGGAGCCACCTCGGGGCCTCAGAAGCCAATCGGAAGAGAAACCACGAGAAGACAAACACCATTGACAAGGGCATACGTGGTTGGCTGATGTTTGGCTCTGGGGACGTCCCTGGCAGGCTCCGAGACCGTCCTGGCACCTCTTAGGGGCACATTGGGGGACTACTTGAATTGACTTGGACCGTATGAATGCACAGTGTTGGAGGCCATCTTAGGACATCCTGGGAAATCCTGGAGCCATCTTGGCACAGAAGCATTCCAAGGATGCTCGTGAGAGGGCCTAACACCTCAGGTTCTTCAATGATGCTGTCTATGAGCGATGGGGGGGGGTCTCCGAACAGAGTCCCCCCGAAGGAACCAAAGACATCGCCTCTTGGGGCCATCCAGTTCGAACGCCCAGCCAGCGCACGGGGCGCCCACGAGGCGCCCAAGGGCGCCCACAGGGCGAACAAAAACCGCACACTCAGCCAGCGCTCGAGGAGCTCTCCAGGCGCACACGGACGACTAGCAGGCGAAAATCCGACCAACCAGCGCAATTACTCAGGAGCACAAGCAAGAGCCCCCAAGTGCAGACACTGTTCGTTGAAATTGGTTTCGAAGGAGTTCGGCCTTCCCAGTGGCTCCAGGGACACTTGGAGCCATCTTCGGGCAATCTTGGAAGCCTGCTGGAAGCCGTCTTGAGACATCTTGGGCTGTCTTGCGTCATCGTGGAGGCCATCTGGAGCTATCTGAGATTATCTTGAGACCATCTCGGACGCTCTAACCCCTCCGCCCAGGACAAAGGGAAAGAAGGAGAAGGAATCCACTTAGTAGAACGGGCCAATACGTCCACACAAGACCAACGTGTCACGCCCCCTTCTTGGCCTCGGCAAGGAAGGATAAACCGGTCTCAAAGAACAGCCAACAAGATGACACGCTATGTTTCAAGATAGTCCAAGATGGCCTCCACTAAACCTACAAGAAGCCAGCAGACCGCCGCAAGACGACCTCAAGTCGCTACTGGGCCTCTCCAGATAGCCCCGAGAAGCCAAACACTGCTAAACAACGAAACAGTTGTTCAATGAGTTAGGCCTTATCGCTTTCAAACTTCCGATGGGCTGTTAAGGCTTCAAACTGGCGGGAAGATCGCCCAAGAGAGGCCCAGAAAGGCAAAGGAAGGGCTCCGGTCGGGCCTGGCCAGATGCCCTATGAGGGTCCCATGAGAGCCCCCAAGGCCTCCACATGACCCCAGCAGCGTCCAAAGATGGAACTAAGAAGTCTTCAGGAAACCCTAAGATCGAAGGATCCGCGACGGCCTTTGGTTAACTCATGGGTCTGCCCAAGCTAATCCCGAGCTTTGCTTTGATGGCTTCCCCCTCTTTGTTCCACTGCTTGCTCCTGCACTTCCCTGCTCAAGGCAACTCGCCTGGGCATATTTTCTGGATGGACAGATATGCGAATCATCAATTTATGTTGAGGACTTCTTTGCCTACCGACCCTTTGGTTCAGCCGACGACCCCTTCTCCGTCCCACGAATGTTACTTCGCACTCCTTCTCACCACGACACACCCAATAATCGTCTACTGGCTTGCCATCGAACCGAGAGTTACTGGGGACACGCGACGCGTCAAGCGCTTGCGTCTTGGACTAGGCGCCGCATGCACCAGTGATGTCAAGACTGGAATACTGCGCAACGCCATTGAGTTCAGACTGTCGTTGCAAGTCTGGAACTAATGTGAGTGCGCCCCATGCCCATCGTTCGCTGATGCATATGCTGCTTGACATTCTCAAGACCTTGGGCGTTTGTCTGACAATGGGTTTACGGCTGCCGCATTGCATCCCCGCTACATTTGATGCACACCAGCATCCCTTGCATGGAGGTGTGAACAGGTACATCACGTATCCACCGGTGGGCTTGCAGACGCGCCAAGATAATTAGCCGGCTGATGCACGGAGAAAGAACGGATACTGAGCGTACAATTGGAAGATATTGAGGGCATGATCACCGTAAAGTAACAAACCACATATGCGAAAAGAAAGGGTTCAAAAGAAGGATAGGAGGATGAGGCGGAGGAAGGTTAGGATGGAGGTCTTCAGGTGGACGGGGCAAGGGGAGACCTGCGCCACTCCTTGAGATGCGGCTGGCCGAATTTCCCTGAGCCCAGAGGCTCAGATCGCCTCAAGCATGACATGCTTCGGCACGTGGACCCAGATGGCGCCAGTGCTGCCTCCCAACGCCGATCTCGACTCGACCTCCAACATCCTGTCGTTCGACGGTTGGAAACTCTGTAGCCCCACCGTGACCTCTTTCCGCTGCGACCAGTCCTTGTTTGCGCTCAGCGCGTCGCCCGGCTCGTCTTGGATCTCGAGCGCCTTGTTCGGGGACCGCCGCACCATGCCAAGACACCACTGAACGAGCCTGGGCCCGAGCCTGAGGATAGGGCTGATGTGGTCCTTGGGATCCCTGGGCCCGCACAGCATGAGCGCCGCCGGGAGGGGGACCAGCGCCGTGAAGATGGACAGCGAGGTGGTGATCAGGAGCATGATGCCGATGTCCTTGAAGATCGTGAGCGTCGCGAAGAGCAGGAACACCGCGCTGCCCACGGTGGTGATGGCGCTGCCCGTGGCCGCAGTGCCGATGGAGGTCAGCGCATAGGTGACGCGCTGCTTCTGCGGAAACCCCTCGCCGGCGCCTGAGTCTGATGCCTCCCCGTGGCCGGGCCCTCTGTGATCTGCGACAGCGTGCGAGCAGGTTCCCTGGCTGTGCGTGCCGTACTTCTGCACGACGTGGAGCGAGTAGTCCAGGGCGTAGCCCACGAACACTATCAGCGAGATCACTTCTATAGCACCCACCTCCCACTGGAGCACCACGACGACGACGAACCCGAGACCACATACCACTCCTATGGTGCTGGCCGTGACGAAAATCGAAAGATATGCGTTTCTTGTAACGATGACCATAGACAGAAACGCCAAAATAAAGACAGTCACTAATGTGGTTAGCGTGCTGTAGATCAGGGCTCTCTGCGCCTCAACCCGCACCCACAATTTTGACGTATGAAATGCCCCAGCGGTGTAATCGGAAGCGTCCACTCTGAAGGCTTCCAAGAATGAGTCCCACTGATCCTTCTCAGCTAATGCTTCGTCGGTTTGCGCGTCGGTGTCCAGATCGAGCTCGAATAGCAAGAAACACGCCTTGACGTTATCCCCATCCATCCATACATAATGCCCTGGGGCCACAGGTCCTCTCCGGGAACTGGCTGTTCCGACGTCTCTGAATCTAGAAAACAAATTTGTAAAACGAGAATACGGCACTGGAAACTTGTCTCCCTTCCGGATCGCGAATTTTTTGAAATCGTCTATCCAACAGAAAGACATGTGCACCCGCAACGTCTCTGGGTAAGAGTTGCAGAGGCTGTGCAGATCGCGCTGTGTCCAGGGTTGCGCCATGTTGAAGTTGTTGATGAACTTCCATTCCACGCCCCCAGTTTTACCGACTAGGGCTGGTCTGCCTGCCACCGATATCCCTAGCACGACCTCAACCTCAGCGTGGCTGGCAACGCTGTAGGCAGACAGAGACCTGGATCTGCCATGTTCGGCCGACAACCTGCGCGCGTAGGCCAAGCTCGACTGCACCATCCCCATAGGCATGCTGTCACACGCCCAACTGCCGCAATAACAAAGTCTGGGGTCGACGCCGGTGCACGCGACCGGTGCGCCAGAGTGGGAGCCCAGGATCGAAGCCATGCCGTTCACGTCAATTTGCCCCGTCACCCAATCCTCGATCAGCACCTGGAGCCCGCTGCCGACCTCCAGGTCGCCCTGTGGCACGCCGAGGTCATCAGCAACCACTGCCACGGCTGCGTCCAGATTCGAGTCTTCGAGCCCGACCATGCGGTACTCCACCTTGCAATCCCCTGCCTCTGTCGCGTTTCGGAAGCACTGGCAAGATCCGTCGTCCACATCGTTCTGCTGCGCCTCGCACCAGAACAGGGCGCAACCCGTCAGGTCGGAACTCGAAGACAACTCGGCTTCGGAGCAGACCTGCTCGGCAGCGGGCGGAGGTTTGAAATTCAGGGGCATCACGCCGCTGACGCCGTCGAACTTCTGACCGACGCTCTCAGCACGATTGAAATTATGCTCCTCTCGGGCAGAAGTCAGCGGGGGGCAGTAAACCCAGGGGAGAACAAGTTGCGCCCAAAACGCCCCAAGCATGCTCCGAACGGATTCCCAAGAGCCCCCTGGCGCCCTTGCATGAACTGCCCTCCCGGTTCCCGCCAGAAGGATCCTCTGGGAACAGCGATGGAAATGAAGTGTCCAGCTGGAGTTGGACGATCACAAAGTAGCCCGAAAGAACGGCGAGGACGCAGGGGATGAAGCAGCAGGCACCCTTCCACTGGTGCAGCTTTTCAGCTAGCACTTCGAGGAGTCGGACTCCGCGCCGCGACCCTGTCGAGGGCGATGTGCGGCAATCGTTGCCGCTCCAGCAGCCTTTGCACCTGCTCTCCTCTACGAGACACACGGGCACGTAAACGAGGGAAACGAGAACCCATACCATCACGACGCAGAGGCCCATGAAGAGCCCGAACTCCCTCAGAGGCTTCAGCGTAGAGGCAAGGTTGGCAAAGAATGAGAGCGAGGTGGTGAACGTCGTCGCGAAGGTGGCCTTGCCAGCATTCCTGTACGTCCACGCCAGACGCTCAACCAACGCGCCCGAAGCCTTTCGGTCTTCGATGTGATCCCTCGAGTCGTGCCAGAAATCCGTGTACACAAAGATGTTGTCCGTGCCAAAACCGATGATCACAAAGAGAGCAAGAAAGGACGTGATTCCCAAGGAAGCATCGAAACCCTTGATCAAGACGAACACCACGTAGGCGCATGGCACTGCGATCACGACGCATGACAGGCCCGCCACCACGAGGAGGGGGCTCCCAGTGTGAAAAGTCAAGTAAACAAAAACGAAAGCGAAGGACCCCACGGCGAGCAAGAGATCGCGGCGCAGCTGATCCATCACCTGTTCTTAACTTACGCTGCGCTAGAACAGGTTGCAGCGCGGGCCTGACTCAATAAGTCATTGCGCTCAGGATGTGTAAGATATGCTGTGCAGCCTATGTGCCACAGTGAGCTACACTACTGCTGTGGACCGGCATCAATTCTACTCGCCCACCCCCAACGTGTTGGCAAATCTCCAGGGCCGGTGCATACAACTACCGATCGGAACTGCTCACGGGCTCTGTCGTGCGGAATCTTCTCGTGCAGGTCCATGGCTTGGGCTGGGCGATAAAGCATGATGTTGATGCTGCGGTTGTTGATGATAATGCTGATGATGTTGATGATGCTGACGATGATGGTGATGGTGATGATGGTGACGATGCTGATGACGATGATGGTGATGATGGTGATGATGGTGATGAGGATATCGGCAACAACGACGATGATCCTGGAGAAGAAAATGGTGATTGTGATGGCGATGGAGACGAAGGCGACGGCAACGATGACGATGACGACGGTGGTGGTGATGATGATGATGATGATGATGATGATGATGATGATGATGATGATGTTGGTGACGACGTTAACGGCTGCGATGATGACGGTGTGACGGAGGACACTTGGCAATCGTTTGACTGGCAAGTATACGTGCGCAAAGGGTCGATCACTTATACGCCTGTTGGGCCGCAACTGGGTTTGACGTGTCGAGGAGAGCTCTACCTTGAAACGCTCCGAAAACCTATACTTCCTCATTGACGTCGACACGCGAGCGCGGGGACGCGCGCGTGTGGCTCACATGGTATGTTTTGATATACACCACGATGTGCGATGTTCTTCACTTTGCAAAAATGATGTCGACATGCGCCCGCGCGAGTGTGGCTTGCATGATATCGTATTACAGCATGCCAGCCAGCCGTCGCACCTTGCGTCATTGGAACATGCGTGCGCGCCATGGTTGTCGCACGGCGTGCTGTTTCTTCATTGGAAACGATGGTTGGATAGCTCTGCCTCGGGAACCTTGGGACGACAAAGCAATACGTCTTACCTGGTGTCGGCATGCGGGCAGGGCAGTGCGCGCGTTGCCCGCATGGAAGAAGCCCCAAATCAGTGCTTGCCCTTCGGATGCCTTGCTTGGCCTGATGCGCAACTGCATGGGTCCGCTGCGGCTTCGCCTGGCGGGCGGCACAATTCCACTGGCGCGGTGACGCGATCGCCCGGATCGTGTAGATCCTGGACCTGGGCGCGACGAGCCCCCGTGTGGTGCCAACGCCCCGTCAACGCACGGGGCGCTCACCGGCTGCAGCCAAGCGAAACGCGGCCAGACCCACCCAATGCACGGGCGCCCACGACGCGCCCACGGGCGACCACCAGGAAACTCCCAGCAGACCCACCCAGATGCTACAGAAGCGAAGTAAGAACCCTCAATTGCGAACACCTGTTCGGAAACTCGAGCCACGCGCGCGCTTAACTCGCGTACGCCCTAGTCCATCGCAATCGATCTCCCCTCGCTTATTTTCCCATGCTCCCCGCCTTCCTCCTGTTTCCGTTTTGGGCCGAAGATGTTCTGGCGGAGGAACCCCAGAACGCGCTGAGCAGCCAGTTGGCTTCCAGGCGGCCTTCGGGCCGCCTCGAATGGAGCCCGAGAGGTAAGGAGGCCCTCCAAGGAGGCTCTGGCCAATACTTTCCTGAGAGGACCCGAAGGCTCTCTTGGGCTCTTGAGGCCCGCGTGGAATTCCCCCCAAGCGTCTTAACCATATGTTGGAACCTTCTGGGGCCTTCTGGGTCCCTCGCAGGACGTGCGGCACTCTTGGATCGTCACACCCTCTTGGGATCCTTCGAGTCATCACGCATCTGCGGCTTTGCTGCAGTAGGCGCACACGGTAAGAACTCTGACCAGGAGAAATCTAAGGGCACGTCGGGATCTGTGATCTTCCTGAGGCGCCCCAAAACCTCTGCGGGCCCCCAGGGCTACCGAGAAATCAGCCATCCCCTTGCGGTACCGGCTGGCAGGCTGGTTTCTTCGTTGCTATGCCTACTGAGCTGTTCTGGCCTCCAGCGGCGTCTCTTGGGCCTTCTTTGGGCCGCTCCTAGGGTGTATCCAAGGACAAAATGACCTCCTGTGACACCCTTGGAATCTCGGGCCGCCTGATCCGTTTCTCCGGGGTGGTGGGAGCTTCTCAAGCCACGCGCAGGAAGGTTCAAGCATGCTTGGCCGATGCAGGACCTGCATGTTCTGGAGGTCCGTGCCGTCGAACCAGACGTTCAGGAGCAGGCCGGTGTCCTCGTCCTGCTGGAGTTCCTTGGGGGAGGTATCAGTCTCGGACAAGCCAGAACGAGAGCGCCAGCAACCCGAGGGAGAGGATACCTGCAACGAAGGAGCAGAATCCAAGCAAGGACCCCCTGAACAAACCAAGGAGGATGGTGCTGCCTCCGAATGGGTTTCCCCAACCAAACATGCAACACCTCTCCTGGCTAGTCTGGTCTAAGTTTTCTGACATCTAAGAGATGGGGAGGGGAGTCGAGGATGATCAGGAGCGAATCTGTCAAAAAGGTGCGGAGAACATGTTGTCCACTGACAAGTGTTACGCCACAGAGGCCATGGATGAGGAGAGGCCTCAAAAGTCCACTCACCCTCGTACGCCTCCTTCTAAACAATCTCTGCTTCTACGTTCCCACAACACGCTCTCGGTGCCGCCGAGCCTCCGAGGCCCAAGGCTCCGAGAGGGCAAAGCGGACAACTGCTATCATATCTCGGTCTCGGGCTGGGGGGGGACAACTCCTTCGCTGGCTCGCTTAACTGCTACATCCGCTCTGCCAGCTGATTCAAGCCTCTCTTGTTTCGAACTCCCGTCGTGCCTGCTCTCTCCACTGTTGTAGGGCCAAGAAGCGCATTTCGATGTGCTCCATCTTGCCAGGACGTTTCTTCTCACGATGCGCAGTGCGTTGCTGCTGTCACTTGCCGACACGGGTGGTGTGACCCCCTCTCACATAGCAGTGCCAGGCCCAGTGCCTCTGCAGCTCCTGCGCCTGGGGCGTGCAGCTCGCTCGCGCCGAACTCAAGAATATGCTGCCCTGGCGCCGCGCCCACGATAATACCGTGCACTCGTAGTACTTCAGCACGCCGCCGTTGACAGTAATCCTGTCGTCTTTGTTGTCGGTCCAGTCCGCGTCGACCCTGCGCTGGGCGATCTGATGGCGCTGCTTGTCGCGGATGGGCGTCATCGCCATCTCCCCGGCCCGCGCCAGAGACCTCGCCATCTTCCAAAACCGTCGTTGGTCACTCTGGGTGAGTGCCGCCCTGTTCCGGCTGAGCGCGCCTAGCCGATTCTGGATGTCAGTTCGATGGCTCGATCGCTGTAATGTCTTGCCGACGCGCGTCCTGTGCAATCCGTGGTCCATCGCGCTGAGGTGATCGCCGTCGCCCATCTGCGCGATGCCTCTCTTCGTCTCTGGCAAGATCGCCAGCTTCACGTTCTCCGGCCCGAAGTCCATCAGCGCGTCATTGACAGGGCGGGCCACGCCCGCCATGGCGAAGCAGCCCTTGACCTCGCGCACCTGCATGCTCAAGAAGGTCGCCTCGTCGCCCTCGTTGCACAGCTTCGCCACATCTGGGAGCTTTAGCTTCTCGCCCAACTCTAACAGTAGCTTGTTCACAACGTCCTTGGGGCCTGCTGTCACGAAGTCACCTGCATGTCGACCTGCCTTGGTCTTGTCATTCGAACTCATGGAGATGCAGCCGTCGCATCGCCCTCTATCGGACCCATCTGCCCCGTCGTGCCTGCGCCGTGGTCCTGCCATGTCGTGGGGGCCCCCTCGAGTCCTGGGAAAGTGCGCAAGGCCTCCAGCGCGCATACTTGTGGAACTCCCGCTTCAGGTGGGGGGCGCCAAGAAGATTGTGTCCTCCGCTGGGGGTGCTTGGGAGAGTGCGCCAGTGCAGTCGCCGAGCCCAACCGCGCTGTCGTTCACCTCCGCGTTGGTCGGCATCGCCCCGGGGTGGGTGGAGACGGAGTGGTGGCCGCGAAATTTTCGTGACAATAGATCTGCTGTTCGAGCTCTCTCGTCGCCTACCTGCTCTTCTTGCTGCCGTCCTCCTGGTTGGTGTCGACCCCCTTGCCCGTCTGGGTATCGGACGTCGTCTCGGCGGTCGGGGTTTGCTTCGCGATCCCCTTGCCCTCGCCGGCGGCATTATCCAGATGCCCCAGGCACGCCTCCGCGAAGTCTCCTTCGGTAAAATGCACCTGGTGGCCCTCCACGGCCGGCTCCTCGCATCTCCTGGGTCGCGCCGGTCATGGCATCTATGCGGGGCCGTCGCGGGTCTCGATCTCTGCCATTTCCGTCGCGATCCTTCGTGGGGATCCTGTCTGCTGGCGGAGTCCCTGCAAATTCAAATACTGAATGCCGCCAGACCTCTGCCGCTTGGGCTGCAGCCTTTGCTTGTCCAATACCACGTCGTCGCGAGGCGCCGCTGCGGCTGCTGCTGCAGCTCCTCCTGGAGCTGTTCTTGATGCAAATTCTGGTGGCGGTGCTCAAACTCCTGGCGGCGGCTGCACGCCCCCTTCCGACGTTGTCCGCCCCCTCCTGGGAGGGCGCCGCCGCAGCCGCGGCTGCGGCGGCCCGGGGTCCGATCTCGACGTAGGTGACCCCCTCGCGTCGTCGGGGTCGGCCCCCGCGGTGTCCGCGACGCCCTGTCGAACGACGCTGGGGCCCGCCTTCTGCCGCCCGCCTTCCGTCGCGCGGCCCCTGGCGCGCAAACTCCCGTCGGGGTGGCGGCCGGGCCATCGCCCGCCCTCGCGCGTCTGCCCAGCCGGGCCCTCCCCAGCCAGGGGAGCTCCAGCTTTTTGATCTGCGCCCCTGGTCGTCTGCAGACCACTGCCTCGCTGGCGGCTACAGCGGGCGCGCGGCGCTCGGGCGTGCGCGTCTTCCCGCGGAGGGGTCGGGTCGGCGCCCCCCCGCGCCGGGCATCGGTTGCAGTGCCGCGCCGCGCGTCTGGGGGGCCAAGTGAGGAGGGGCGGCCCCGATGCGAACAGCCTGCCTGCGAGCCCCTGGGGCGCTGCGAGCAGTGGCGCCCTGACCTGCTTCCTCATGATCGCGGTCGTTCGCCCCGCCCTGCCGCTGGCCTGTGATTTGCACCTCTCCGACTGCCGCGCGGGGGTCTCCTCGCAGGCCCCGCCCTTGGTCGCCCTGGCCCTCGCCGCTGTGGCGAGCGTGATCATTCTGCTGGTCCACCCTGGGGCCGAAGAGTCGCCATTGGTCGGGGAACCAGTCGCTTGGCCATGACGTCGCGGAGTGTGGAATGGCGTTGTGGCCCTCGCAGCGGTGGCCAAGTCCAGCTGCTGACGCAGTAAGGCCGCTCGCTGCGTCAAGTCCTCATGGCTCGCCCCAACATTTTGCTGGCCCATGGGCGCGTACGCCCCTGAGGCAATGCTCGATTCCGGCCGAGCCTTACCAAACGGTATCGGTTCGAACCTCGTAGAACCAGCGCGTGATTGGGGCCTTGGTGGCCCCTAGCTCGCAGGTGGCCCTGGCATGCCTCCTGGGGCCGTCGCCCGGGTCGTGTGACGGTTGGAACGGAGGTACCATCGACGCTGCCGACGACCTGGGGCCCGCTGGCAAGACAGCCGGGGGCCCGGCATTCGTGGGAGGAGTTGCGGTCCCAGCGTGCGACCCCGCATTAATCATGAGGCACGCGTGCGTTTCGCTGCCGAGGGGTCCGTCACATGCCTGAGTGACGGGGGCGCGCGGTTGGACAGGCTCGAACCAGTTCCGCGGGAGGTCTCTGGAAGTCAAGTGGATCTCGAGCTCGCTCGGCGAGCGGAAGTAATGGGGTTTCTGCCATGCGCTGTTGAATTCTCATTTCTAAAGAATAATGATGGTTGATCCCCCCCCAACCGGTGCACGCTGTTTCGTCTCAATCAAAGTGTGCCCTTCGACGCTCGCACCCTGTTTTTCTGACAAGGAAAATCTTGATGCTCAAACTGGGCCCCTGGGCCCCGGGTTACAAAAACAACGGCTCCCGCCTGAGACTTCCTTCCGATTTAGCCAGGACCCCCGCTCCCGCCCGAGACTTCCTCGCATGTTCTTCCGGAATCGCGCCCTCGTTTGGGACTTCCTTACGATTTATTCAGGAATCGCTCTCCTGGCGCTCTGGAGTGGCGCTCTCGCTGGAGATTGCTTGCAATTCACTGAAGAATGGCCTTGCTTTGGAATTTCCTGCAATTTGCCCGAGCGCCGCGCCCCCGACACCCAAGCGCCCAGGAGTCACGCCCATTGCGGCCCCATGCGCATGCTCTTCGTGGCCCCGCTGTCGCCATTTGCGCCCCCCTCACAGTCCTACGTGGCCCAGTTGCTACCCTCAGTGGCCCCAAAGTTGCCTTCTGTGGCCCCGCATTATCTGCACTTCGCGGCCCCCGCTCGTTCGCGCTCTTCGTGGCCCCATGCGCATTCCCTTCGTGTCCCCGCTGTCGCCCTTCGTGGCCTACTTCGTGCCCTTCGTGGCCCTGCTGTCGTTCTCTCTCGCTCTGGCTTTCGCTCGTCGTCGCCGTCGTCGCCGTCGTCTTCAACGTCGTCGTCGTCGTCGTCGTCGTCGTCGTCGTCGCGGTCGGCCCCCTGTCCGCCCCTCTTGGGGCTGGGTCGGCGGTCTGCGGCCGCCCCGCCGATCAGCGCTGCCGCTGGCCAGGCCGACGGTCCGCGGCCGCCCCGCCGCTCGCCGGGGCCCGGCCTGCAGGGGAGAAAGGTGTACCCCCCAAAAGGGGTTCGATCGAAAATGAAGAGGGCGGGCATCGAGGGTTTGGGGAATACGAGTTATTGGACACTCGAGCATATAAGGGCGAACAGTCTTACAATGATTGCTGTTGTTGTTTCTTTGACCAACCAGCTGGATCATATACTTGGTTGATACGATGCCGTCGAAGCCCCCGGTCAAAAGGGCGTCGTCTGCCGACCGCCAGACCTTGGCTCTGTCCCGCAACAGAAATGGGATCGAGATGAATATGAAGACTTCCGAGTCTGCACATAGAGCGGATTTGATTCGCGGGGCCAACGGCAGACATGGGCAGCCATGTACGAACAGCCTGCCGCAATTGAATATGGGACTGTGTTCTGGCCGGCAGGACAGCCAATAACTGCAAATACCTTTCATGCATGCCCACCTTGGTGCCGCGGGTGATAAACTTGGGGGCGCCTGTTTGGCCAACGGGGGTCACTGGTTTGTAAAGTGACTCTTGGCATAGG